CCCCCAGTTTCTTAATGAGAACAGGGTGAGAGACAGTGTCGAAGGCCTTCCGAAAGTCCAGGAAGACTATGTCCACTGCTACCCCTGCATCTAATGATTTGGTTATCTGATCATAGAAGGCCACCAGGTTGGTCTGACAGGACCTGCCACTGATGAACCCGTGTTGGTTGCCCCTAAGCATGAAATCCCCTGCTAGGATAGGATGGAATTAATAGGATGGAGTTCAATGCAGACAAATGCAAGGTGCTGCACCTTGAGAAGAAAAATTAAAAAACATAAATATAAAATGGGGAACACCTGGCTGGATGGCAGCACTATGGCAAAGGATCTGGGAGTCTGGGTACATCATACTCAATATGACTGCAGCATGATGCAGTCACACAAAAGGCCAGTGTAGTTTTAGGATGCATCAGTAGAAGCATTAGGCACAAGACATAGGAGGTGATAATACCACTCTATTTGGCACTGGTTAGGCCTTATCTGGCAGACAGTGTGCCATTCTGGGCTCCACATTTTTAAAAGAACACGAAAAAGTTAGAGAGGGTCCAGAAGTGGGCGACAAAGATGATCAGGGGCTTGGAAGGCAAGTCAAAGGAGGAGAGGCTGAAGGAGCTAGGCGTGTTTAGCTTACAGAAAAGGCACTTAAGAGGAGACATGATAGTAGTCTTCGAATACTTGAAGGGCTGCCATAAAGAGGAAGGAAAATGTCTTTTCTTTCTTGCTGCAGAGAGGAGGACATGGACCAATGGCTTGAAGCTGCAGCAAAGTAAGTTTAGATTGGATATCCAGAAAAACTTCTTCACTGTTACAGCAGTGAGATAGTGTACTAGACTGCCTAGGGAAGTTGTGAATTTTCCATCACTGGAGGTGTTCAAGCAGAGGTTGTACAGCCATTGGGCAGGAATGATCGATGTGTAGCTATGCCTGTGTTCTACTATGGGTATTTCCCATGCTTCTGGGTTTTGTTGGTTGCCCCTGCACCCCTCTTCTGGTACATGTGTCAGGATGTTTTTAAGCCTTCCTCAGAGGCTCTGGGTGTTTGCCGCAGCCAACGCTGGGGACTCTGACTGGAGTATGCCAATGTTCCTGGTGGAACCAAAGCCAGAGGTTCCTGGCTAGAAGGTCTTGCCTCTGCTCAGGGTCAGACCAATTGCCATATTTGGGGTCAGGAAGGAATTTTACCCCATGGTCAAATTGGTACAGTCTGTGGGGAGTCTTGCATCCCTCTGTAGTGAGGGAAAGACCCAGGAGCCTCTTTAGCAGCTATTGACAACATTTCATAGAAGCAGGACATTGGCTGTCATGATTCCCCTCCTTCACTTATGGCAGGTTAGGGAGTTAGGTCTGTGTTGTATCAGGGTTGATGGTAGTTTTGTGTAGAGTTTAGATTATGGAGTGTATATGATGTCTTGGACAGGGATGATCTTGCCTGAAGCCAGGGGTTGGACTAGATGCCCTTCCAGCCCTTCTTCTTTATGATTCTATGTTTCTCTATGGTAGACAAAACATACATATGTATCCACAAAGGGGAAGGTAAAGTAAAGTGTGACGATGTGGAGAAGCTACCAAGACATCAATTAGTTGGGTCTTTTACATCACCTTGACTGCAAATCAAGGATGTGGGCTGGCACGAGTGAAAGTCACTGGAAGGTATAAGTGTTCTTTTCCCTCATAGACATTGGCCATTGTCCTCAGATGCTCACTGCAGGTACTGACAGATGTACAGCTCCTCACTGTAACTCATGGTGCTGTGCAGGAAGCACCATGAGTTACAGCATTCCTTTCCCCCCTCCCCTCCCCAACCCAACCCAACAGATATTCACCATTGGGTCCAGGGGATTAAGGGACTGAACTCCAGCTTAGAGTGTTTGCAGTCACTCTCCCCTAGCCCTGCCCCCCACCCCCAACTCTGGTGCTGCTTTCAGAGTGGGAGCGGGGAAAGGGAGGGGACAGAGCTCATCTGGGGCTTTCCCAGCCTGTGCTGCAGGGTGAAGCAGGTGGATTGGAGCCCCACTCACCTCATTGGGTGGGGAGGGGCTCCAATCCATCCACCCCACCTCCAGTGCAGGCTGGGCTAATCTCGTACAGAACTCCTTCCCCTCATTTCTCCCCTTCTCATTCTGAAGACAGCACTGGGGGCAAGGTGGGGCTGTATCAGCCCAGCCCTGCTCCCAGCACACACCGACAGACTTTAATGGCGGCATTCCCCTTTGGATCACCTTCATCTGAGCCCGCATGTAATGATGATTCAGATTGTCGCACAATCAGGAACACTCTGCAGCTGTGTACTTCTGTAAGGGCATAGCTGTAGAGTGCTTTCAGCGGGCTGATCAAATGAAAAATGTAACTTCTGTCTGCACCCTGTATGGCAGAGACTAAAGGGACACCTAAATCAACCATTCCAAGCCTTCATCTAGCTTGAAGCTTGCAATTTAGAGGGCTGCTCAGTTAGTTGCTTATGTGAGTCAAGCCATGGACTCAGCCAGGCCCCTCACTTCCACCATGGTCAACCTCCACCCTCAATACCCTAGAGAAAGGTTGTAGGTAAAGCTAGAGAGATTATAAGTAAAGAAGCACTTAGCTGAGGGCTGGCTGAAGCAATGGACTCAGCTGAGGGGAGTTGGTTG